CAATCTTCTCAGCAATGAAGAAGAGACTTAAAGTAACAGACATGTGATTCTACAGAAGGATACTGAAGATACAATGAAATGAATATTTAAGCAACGACGAAGTTTTAGAGAAAATGGAAACAAAAAGGAAATTTATACGTAACAGTTGCAATTTCTAGGCAACATAGTGAGGAGAGACGGCTTGGAAAATTTAATACTCCCAGTACAAATTGAAGGACAGGAAAACAAAGCATGGAGTAAATGAATGCCGGAACAAGGTTTAGGAGAGATAATAAAAAGACAAAATTTATTAAGAGATACAAAGGACAGGAAATTGTGGAGGGCCATGATCGCCTAAAAGTGAGAGAAGATTGTCCAGCATTTACTGGAGGACAGATATTACGTAAGAGTTCAGTACCATTTTCTTTGTTTCTGTAGCTTCAAGTCACTTCTTCATCTGTGAAAAGATTGTCCTGCATTTACTGTAATATAGAAGGATTGATATTACGTAACAGTTCAGTACTCTTTTCTTTGTTTCTCTTGCTTCAAGTCTCTTCTTCATCTCTGAAGAGATTGTCCAGCATTCACTGCCATATAGGAGGACTGATATTACGTAACAGTTCAGTACTCTTTTGTTTGTTTCTCTTGCTTCAAGTCTCTTCTTCATCTGTGAGGAGATTGTCCAGCATTCACTGCCATATAGGAGGACTATTATTACGTAACAGTTCAGTACTCTTTTCTTTGTTTTTCTTGCTTCAAGTCTCTTCTTCATCTGTGAGGAGATTGTCCAGCATTCACTGCCATATAGGAGGACTGATATTACGTAACAGTTCAGTACTCTTTTGTTTGTTTTTCTTGCTTCAAGTCTCTTCTTCATCTGTGAGGAGATTGTCCTGCATTTACTGTCATATAGGAGGACTGATATTACGTAACAGTTCAGTACTCTTTTCTTTGTTTCTCTTGCTTGAAGTCTCTTCTTCATCTGTGAGGAGATTGTCCAGCATTCACTGCCATATAGGAGGACTGATATTACGTAACAGTTCAGTACTCTTTTGTTTGTTTTTCTTGCTTCAAGTCTCTTCTTCATCTGTGAGGAGATTGTCCTGCATTTACTGTCATATAGGAGGACTGATATTACGTAACAGTTCAGTACTCTTTTCTTTGTTTTTCTTGCTTCAAGTCTCTTCATCATCTGTGAGGAGATTGTCCAGCATTCACTGCCATATAGGAGGACTGATATTACGTAACAGTTCAGTACTCTTTTCTTTGTTTCTGTTGCTTCAAGTCTCTTCTTCATCTGTGAGGAGATTGTCCAGCATTCACTGCCATATAGAAGGACTATTATTACGTAACAGTTCAGTATTCTTTTCGCTCTTTGTAATTAAACCTTTCTGTCTTCATATTCTGCTTAGCTTTTGGAATGCATCTTTGGCCATCCTAATGAGCCTTCGCATTCCAATGTTCCACTTTTAGTCGTTTGTTAAAACATGTCCCAGATATTTAAATTGTTGTACTTGTTTTGCCATGCATTTCCATTTTCTTGCAATTGAGGTTTAGTCCTTTTTTTTTCACTACCTTCTGTAGGTATAATTGTAGTTTTCTTTAAGGCTGGTAAAACAAAAACGGTGAGAACTGAATTGGCTTTTGTTCTGTAACCTTTGTCCGCTTTTGGATTTGGAATTTTCGTTCTCTTTTCGTGGTGACCAATCAGAGGCAGCCGGAAATTAGGAGAGCGTCTCTGGGGTCCAATTATTTTCCGATGGTACTTGCTCAAAAGCTACGTAATTGTCTGCAAAACACATCGAAAACAAATATCACATCGACCAGATGTGCTTGTTTAGAGACATTGGAATAAGATGAAGAATTTTAAGCCAAAATTTTCGTGTTGACACAAAACGCGAATATCTTGAGGGAAATTGGAAACTCATAAGCTTCCGAAAAAGAGTAGAGTTTCGTTTTCGATTTGGCTCAGCCAACAAAGCAGTTTCGTCGTCGCCATTTTGTTGTACGTCATTGAAGAAATGAATATTGGCTCAATCAGAATCTAACCACTTGCTGTCATAGGTCCAGGGTAGAGTATCAATGTAAAAATATCTAAAGATATTTAGACGCATTATCTGTAAGAAGCATTGTCAACCATTATTAATACTTATAACATTTGCATTCGTCTCTATTGTTTATTAGATAAAGGATTAATAAACGCTATTATAAATTTTTGACTACTATTATCTTCATATTTTTTTAGTTGAAGCATTCCCAACCATTATTAATTTTTGACTGGTACAGCTTCGGCAGAAATATCTCTCACAGAATGGCCAGACATTAGTGTCAATGGTGTCTTCATCTAGCTAATGTTTTATGATTATGTGAGAGGTATTTCTGCCACACCATGTATTTACTTTCATCTTCATTTTGTATGAGATGAAGAATTTTCAGCCACTATTATTACTTATTGACACGTATTGACTTTTATCTTCATTTTGTATTATTTGAAGCATTGTTAGCCATTATTATTAATTACTGGTTCGTGTTTACTTTCATTTTCATTTTGTATGAGATGAAGAATTTTCAGCCACTATTATTAATTATTGACACGTATTGATTTTTATCTTCATTTTGTATTATTTGAAGCATTGTTAGCCATTATTATTAATTACTGGTTCATGTTTACTTTCATCTTCATTTTGTATGAGATGAAGAATTTTCAGCCATTATTATTAATTATTGACACGTATTGATTTTTATCTTCATTTTGTATTATTTGAAGCATTGTTAGCCATTATTATTAATTACTGGTTCGTGTTTACTTTCATCTTCATGTTGTATGAGATGAAGAATTTTCAGCCATTATTAATTTTTGACTAATATATACTTTCATCAACAAGATTATCTGAGGTATTTTCATGCATTATTACTATTGGTATTTGTCTCATATATTATGAAGTTGGTTGACGATGCTTCATCTTATAAACAATGAAGTTAAAAGTAAATACTAGTCAATAATTAATAATAATGGATTATTTTGTCGGGTCCATAGTTTCCGTTGAAAACAATAGACGTCTATGAAGGTATATATCAAGTAGACGTATTTTTATTATCAGCGGTGATTTAAACAATTGCGCAATTTCCAATAAGAAATCTTTGTGTCGCCAATAAAGTTCAAGAGCTTTACTTGGATGTTTCGCTTCCAGTAATCAGCAGAGATCAATCTATTTTTATAATGAAAGGAACACATTTTCTTTTTAATAAGTCACTCTTAGAAAAAAGAAAAGTTTCATTGCGAATTGAACACATTCTGTTATTTCATCTGTATCAGAGAGACAAAATGAAGAAAGGCAAATCAAAAGATATTTATTAGGTTGGTGCAAAAATAATGACGTAATAATGTCGTTTTTGATGTTAAAAATAAGTCAAAAAACGACATTATAACGTCATTATTTTTGCACCAACCTAATATCTCATCACTATAAATTGAACGAAGAGCGACGACGTTTCAAAGGGGATCTCTACAGGATATAGATATATAAAGGAATTTGGATTGTTGGAAAGGTTATCGGTATAGGAAACAGAATAATCCAGCCAAGCTCTAAGTGAAAGTGAAGCTGTTTGTTTTTCCCCTCTCTTTAATATACGATAATATTTCTCGTTACAATCTCCTTCACCAAATATCTAGATAAAAGTGTCAGATTACTGACAATTTAAAATGTTTGCAGATTAGTTAACATCCTTCCATCAATTTTCATTTTTTTAATCATATCACCCCATGCAAGGCAACAAAGCCACTAGGACACAAAGGATTACTGAGTGTGAAAGAATAAGAAAAAAAAAAAGAGAAACATTATTAAAGAATATTATTAAAGAGTAATCAAGAGGTCAATAGATAACAATTGATATCGAATTTGAATCTTTGAAGATCAAATTTGGCTGGAAAGCTTAGAGCAGGAATAGAGGTCCACAGACAGGAAGTGCGAGAAAAGAATCTGTTAGTGTAGAACTTACGGCTAAATCGAACCAATTTAACTGTCAATCAATGAGACCTTGCCGCCAACCTAATGCTGCACTTAAATTTATAAAGTCTCGGTACCATAGCGAAGAGTTCATACTCTTTCAATATATCCCGTGAGTGTCAAATTTTCTAAGCCCCCTTTCTTCATTATGTTCCCGAGAAATTTCAACTGTCTCTTTCATATATTAAGTATAGATATCATTTTTGTTGCCATTTTCTCTAAAATTTTGTCGTTGTTCAGATGTTCAGTCTATGGTATTTTCAGCATCATTCTGAGGAACCATATTTGTTGTCTCAAGTCTCGTCTTCATCTGTTTGGTTTTAATCATGTCACTCCCATGTAAACCACTAAGATACAATGGGTTATTATTAAAGAGCGAGAACAACAGAAGAGTAATCAAGAAGACAGTAGATAGCGATTGATGTCGCATTTGAATCTTTGAAGATCAAAGTTGGCTGGAAACTCACAGAAGAGTGTTCTACAAGCGAGAAGTGCGAAAAAGAATCTCTTAGAAGAAAACTTATGGTTACATTTACCCAGTTCAACTGAGAATTGATGAGATCTTGCCGCCAACAATACTACGCCTGAATTCATAAAGTCTAGGTACCATGGAGGAAAGTTCATGAGAAGAACTAGCATGAAAATATTTATAGAAAAAGCACAGGGAAGCTACATTATGGCGGTGGGAAAGTGACTGAAGCCGAGATGCCAGGGCAAGACCAATAACATTGCTGATTCTTCTTTGCATTTTATTAATAATCTCTAGATATATCGCAGGAGCACCAGACCATACGTGACAGCAATATATATATATATGTATATATTAAGAAATGGACAATTTAACGTTAAACATAAAAATGTCTTTAATAAATATATATGTATGTGTGTGTGTGTGTGTGTGTGTGTGAGAGAGAGAGAGAGAGGGGTGGGGTAAAAGAAAGAGGAAGAGGAAGAAAGTCAGAGAGGAGAGGGTCAAAGAGAGAGTGAGATGGTCAGAGAGAGGGTGGGAGAGAATCAGAGAGATGGAAAAAGTTCAGAGTGAGAAAGAAAGTGGTCTGAAAGAGAAAGGAAGATGGTGAGAAATTGACAAGAGTGACAGAGAGAGAGAAAGAGGGGGAGAGGGGAGCGAGAATGACAGAGATGGCCAAAAGAAGAGAGAGAGGGGCCATAATAAGAGAGGGATAGAAACATCTCCAGGAGAGAGAGAGAGAGAGAGAGAGAGAGAGAGAGAGAGAGAGAGAGAGAGAGAAATATTGTTTTTTTGTTACTTTCTGTCGAGTGAAGGGCAGAATATAAACAGTCAGTGTCACGGGTCGTAATGAACACAACTGAATTCTTGTCAACTCTCTCCGAGTTTTTTTCCCAGTGATCCCAACCAATGAAAAGCTAAAGAAAAAATGCGTTTCTTTTTCGATAAAACAAAGAATCTAAACATTGGAGCTTAGACAAATAATGGTTTAATCACAGAGCGCTCGTTTTCGTCCGTCGAAGAAAAACTGTTGTAATTTGACTAGAGTGAAAGCTAGCCTGTCGTACTTAAAAAGAAAATCATTTTGGTGATTGTGTAAAGAAAGGGAATAGCAGCAATTGAGATGTATTTATTTGGCAGTAGAAGTTGGAGAATCTCCCCACGGATGAGGAAAAAAAACTAGAAGCAGCAGAAATTCCATAGACGGAGCGATTAAGCAACAAAGAAGTCACACTGAAGAGACGACAGAGCTGATCCATCGGCCCGATAATACAAGCCTCGTGATTAGCTGGCTGTTCTTCGTACCAGCCAATCAGATTGCTTCTCGCATTTTTTTCCATCTGCGCATTTCAGTGGCCGTTTCTCTGCTATGTTTTGTGATTTATACGTTTTTTTTTTGTGTTCCAAGTTAGGATTTGTGAAAAGGGCTCCGTCTTCTTGGCACTGAAACTCCAAATGAGCAACAGAAAGAACACTTATGCTTAGAATTATAAAACACACCTTAAATGCCTTGGAAATATAATGAGGATGGAGGGCTTAGAAACGTAATTATGAACGCCTAAAGTTACTATTGGTTTTGAATTTATAAAACCTATTTTTGAAAAACAAGAATTTAGATTTTATAATCATAATATCATTTTAAGTGAAAAATCGTCAATATGTAAAAAAAAAAATACAATTCTTCAATAACATTCCAGGTTACCATGCTCATAATATTCCACAAAATAATAACAACCTGAAAATAGTAACGATTCCGCTTCTTTTTATTTCATTCAAGTACTTACTTGCCTCAAAGACTGATTATATACAACTGTAAATTTACCATATTCACATTCTTATTATTATTTAGGATGTGTAGGCGTAATGGATAGCGGCACGGATTGAGGAATCGGAGAGCAGGGTTCGAATTCCAGTAGAATTTACTTACTAATACTTGGGAAAGGTATGAATCCTCTTCTTATCCCACCAGCTATTGGTAAATAGCAGAACAGACCGGGTTCTATAGCCTTGGATGGCAACAGGTCTACCACAGAAAGAAATGGCAACCTACTGCGGGAAAAATATGTCTCGTCAGTCATGTATCGAAAGATACATGATCGCCTAAGCTTATACCACGCATGGCACATAACTGACTCTTGGGAAAGGTATGAATCCCCTTCTCCCACCCCCAGCTATGGGTAAATAGCAGAACAGACAGCGTTCTATAGCCTTGGATGACAACTGGTCAACCACAGAAAGAAATGGCAACCTACTCCGGGAAAAATATGTCTCGTCAGTCATGTATTGAAAGACACATGATCGTCTAAGCGTGTATCACGCATGACTGAGGTGGCGAAACAAATTTTTCAACTACAAATCGGTCAGGGTGAACGGATGTCTTGAGAGGATATTGGGTCTCAAACTCACGTATGTCTTGAGAGGATATGGGCCTCAAACTTTCGGATGTCTTGAGAGGATATTGGGCCTCAAACTCTCGGGTGTCTTGAGAGGATATTGGGCCTCAAACTCTCGGGTGTCTTGAGAGGATATTGGGCCTCAAACTCACGGATGTCTTGAGAGGATATTGGGCCTCAAACTCACAACCGTCATCAAGTGGAACTCGTACATACGATCCATACATGGATAGGTAAAATGATCGGGTCCCTGTATCACTTCAGTAAACCCCTGGCTCCTCGGGCTATCCTCTACATTTATAGGAGGCAGATCAAACCGAAAATGGAGTACTGTTGCCATATCTGGACGGGAGATGCCCGGACCTCATTTTCCAGTCTTGATAGAGTTCAAAAGCGTCTCAGAGTCTTTGTGGGAGAAGAAATATTTTCTACCCTCAAACCACTTTCTGTGGTGAGTCTCTCACTGCCCTATCACTACTACCAAGTGCTCGGACGAATTACATTCCTTGGTTCCACCAGGTTTAACCTTCACGACCATGACCCGCCATGCCACCCACATGGTGGCAAACCATCCACATTCCCTTCGTATTCCACTGGTGAGAAGTAAGTTCCTCTCCAACAGCTTCTTCCAGCGAACCATCGCCTTATAGAACAGACTCCCAAGAGGATGTTTCCCCAATCACTACAAACTTAACCTGTTCAAATCTAGAGTTATCCTTCCTATTCATATAAACTACCTCTTAATGTAACGATTACTGGAATTTTTGAGTAGTTTTTAGTACTAGTGAGCAAGCCAAAATAAGCTGACTCATTTTATAGTTCACCAATAGAAGGGTTAACCAATCAGAAAGCTCAAAATATTCAATGTGACGTGTATAAAGGCAGCCATTTTGTTTTTCTCCTAAAATATCTTCACTGCCAACCTGATATCGAAGACTTAAAGAATTAACAGCCGCTTCTTTCTCCGAATCTCCACTGCCAACCACTGATACTGAAGACATTACGGACTTCACTGGATTCCATATTCTCAGACTACGGCAAACATGGTCAACAACTATCTACACAGGATGAATCTTACTGTAAAAAAATTCATTATGTCAATGGTGAGAATATTCATTTCCACCTTAATCTGAACTTAACTGACCGAATATTTAGCGATGCTGTTGGCTGAAATTTATAAAATATTTATCTTTGAAGCTCTTTTTTTAAAAATTCAGATGTCTTAAGATCAGTTTCCTTAAATTTTGAGCGTCCTGGGTATGCCGATAAACGACTTCCAACAGCAAGGCCTCTGATCAGGAGGCTTTGAGGAGCGTGGAAGCACCTCTTAATTGCTGGTGTTCCCAGGTCCACCCTGATCTTGGTTGGTAGCACCTGTTAGGGCCCCAGCTATGGACACATCCTTAACCCCCAAACTGGGGTCAAAACGTCTAAAAATAGATTGTAATACCAGCAATACATTTGCGTAAAAATTATTACCATTAATAAATTTTCGAAGAAAAAATTATTGCCAGCAATACATTATTACTAGCAATACTTTTTTTTAAAAAAGAAATATTACCAGAAATAATTTTTGGGAAAAATATTACCAGAAATAATTTTTGGAGAAATATTACCACTAATAAAAAATCTTGTCGGTATTAATAACCAATTGAGGTTGATATGCCGTAAAACAAAACAAACCAAATCAATCAAGTTCAGATTTTCTTTTTAATCATTTCACCTCAAGCAAGACAATAAAGCCACTAAGATGTAAGTGTGAGATCATATAAGAAAGAATATTATTAATGAGAGAGAACAATAAAAGAACAGGAATTATGAAGACAGAAGATAACGATTGATATTGCATTTAAATTTTTGAAGATTAAAATTGATTCGAAAGCAAGAAGTCAGAAGAGATTTCCACAAACGAGAATTGTGATAGAAGAAACTGTTAACATAGAACTTACGGTTACATGTAACTGTTTCAAACATTAATTGATGAGACCTTGCCGCCAATCTAGTACTGCACTCAATAAAATCTAAACATATGAAAGTGAAGTTATAGATTTTCTTTTTTCTTGAGAATTGAAAAGAAATATTAATAATAAAAATATTCATTGATTAGTTTGTTTATTTAAACTATATATTTATTAGATTGTTTCTTGGAATGTTTGTCAAACCATCGGCTAATTGCCAATCGATTCGTACTTTATAAAATGGTATAAAAATGATATAATTGGTTCATATATTTTAATAATTTAATAAATGTTTATAAATTAAACTACAAAAAATGTTTATTTCTTTAAAAATTAGTAAATGATCAATATTACATTGCATTACTTTTAATTGTATTAGTTGTTACGATGTTTTAAATGTAAAATTATTCTTGTAAACAATCTAATAAATGAATAGTGTTTAATAGTTTTGTTGTAAATTCTCAAGAACAAAAAATAATCTATAAATTCACTTTCATCATCAGTTTAGGTTTTATTAAAATTCTAATAAACCCTTTTTAAAACAAAAAAAAAACATTGCTGAGGAGTGATGGTATTTAACATAATAGCGGTGTTAAGGCAAAAACCGTCCTTTCACGAAGGAACAAGTTCGCCAAAAACATTTTGTTAGAAACAAAGAGCAGTAAACAGCAATATCCTATTCATCTTTCTAAATGACTGTTGAACGATTTTCTTATAGAAAAGACACAGGAAGTAAAGTTACGGCGGTGAGAAAGGTATTAAAGCTGAGATACCAGCTCAGGATTAATAACATCGTAGATTATTCTTTGTATTTTATCAAGAATCTCTAAATAGATAACAGAATCGCCAGATCAGAGAGACGGCAGCAATATTCAATGTTTCAACAAGATGAGGAAGATTCTAATGATCTTTTCTTTTGGACTGTATTTGATATGAATTTCGTTTGAGTTTTGAGATGATGAAAAATAAAACAGCAAACTCCTATGAAAAAGAAACTGTGGCAAATGGATTCGTTATTAAAATAAATTCCAGTGATTTTTCCATCCAGAAAATAAAATAAGATATAATAAATACGTTACCAAAAATTACACCAAAATGTTGGAACTTACCTGCAAAGAAAACAAAAAACAATCCCGTAAATAAGTTAATCGGATCAGCTTATTTTAATTAAGACAAATTTATTAATACAATTATCACTAACACATGCATTAGGTATTTACTGAGGTATAACGAATATATATATATATATATATATATATATATATATATATGTGTGTGTGTGTGTGTGTGTGTGTGTATTTAGGCAGTAAATTCTGTTCTATATAAGTAATATAATACTTATATTAATAAACAACATATAGTTTTGTATTACTTTCACCCCTGAAGATGAACTTGGAAGAAGATCGAAAGTACCTGGGAAATGAAAATAAAAGAAATTTAAACAGCTATAGCACATTTCTTTCCTCCTTTAACATCAATACACGAAAGGTTATTCGTGAGTATGAGCCGAATTTGTTAAAAATTAGTAGACATAATGTCAGTTTATATATATATATATATATATAT